TAAAGCATGTATAAAGGAAATATTTAGAATAAAGCCAATATATAAACTTTCTTTCCGTATAGACGTATTTACGTCAAATTCTCCGGAACCGTGGTTCCACTGACAACTTTTTTTCTTCTTCTTCTTTTTCTTATTGAAGAGGACGAATGTGGCTGCGTTGATATTCACTGTCTTCTAACATCCCATTTTATATGACTGCCGCTTTTATCTCTCTCCTGTCGCATGATGCATGGATCCGTCTGACTGACAGGTTCCATATCGCCCATGAAGAAACCGTCGATGAATATAAACATGGACTGAGCTACAAATATTTTCCATGTTCATTTCGGATTCTAACACCGTCGGCTTCCGTAGTCCAACTCAGTAAATTATTATGATATTTCATTTGCTATGCATTTTATACTACACGCGTTTCCTTTATCATGTTTTCAGTTTTCCTGTATCTTCGCAAAATGTGGGAAAGGCGATAAAATTAAGTAGGAGATGGGCGTAGAGCGTCAAACAAACGCAAATGGGAGGATAATATTAAAACAGATATTAAAGAGGCAGGGTGTGAGCATATGGTTTGGATTCACCTGGCTCAATACAGGAGCCAATGGCGGGTCGTTGCTGACAATGTATGAATCTCCGAATTCCATAAAAGTCAGAGAATACAATATATCACATTAGGAATAATTTGTTTCAATTTAGTATTAATTAGTTTCACAGGAACTCTGCTTAATGGAGTTCATTTTTAATCAGTTAAAAATTATTCTCTGTCTACTGGCTAACCAACATCAGACGGTTAGACAACGGCTTCCCACATACAATACTCGGATTCGATAGAAAGGGAATCCGTGTGGAATGGTACAGCGAGGATCTTTGACTTTTTCATGCTAATCATCATTGCACCTGTGCCCCACTGTCATCTATCACCGTCTCCGATACACGTGACACTGTGACAAGCCGACACATTATCATTCGCTCCTTAATTAAGACTTAATTTCCGTTCCATCTCTTGGTTGAAGACCAGGGTTACCACGTACTGAGCTCCTGAACTATCACGATGTACTATTCTTGGGCTACCAGTCGTGTTAGGTGCTTGAATGCAGAATGAGAGCTTCGGATCACACATCCTGAACTATCAGTTTTTCAATTACTCTGCTCAAGTGAGTTCAGAAATAGACCAATATACATTTATGTTCCTTTATAAGTAACACGATTTATTTACAAATTAAAATAGTCCGTATTCCCTGCCGATCTTGTGTAACAAATAGTCTTGTGCAAATGTGCCTCAAACCGTCCACGAGTACATAACATAAGTATTTAATGACACAGTCAATAGTTCAGATTGTGTAGCTCCGAATTATCATTAATAATGAATTAGAAGGGATGTGAATGGAAGGGGTGGAATTGATCGTGGGCTAATTTAAAATAGACTAGTTTCCAGGTCTTACCCTGGAAGGAGAGAGGAAGCCCACAAAAATCCTGTCAAGATAGCCCATCATCGGGCCGGGTTTTCAACTCGGAACCTACTGAATAAGAAGCAGACTGATAAACACTCGAGTGTGACGTTCGGTAAAAAGCTAGCAGTTCCTTAAAAGATGCATTTCGCCGGCAGTCTGTCTTTGCAAGCTTATAAATAACACAAGTTGGTTTTTATATTCTCTAATTGTGGTCGCTTAGCAACCTTTAGGCTGAGAAATGTCTATCGATCGTGGACAAATAATTACCATCCTCTACAGATCACGTCCACCGGACAAAAAACAGAGAACTTTTTACAGTAGCCTATCTGCTCATATTTGTATCATAAAATAGGACGGTGACAAGTGAAATTTAAACTTCATTGTTTTCCAAGTTATACCAGTTTCTGGTCAAAACATTTGATTCTTCTGTTATGTTTTCACAGTGTCTTCAAGGTAATTAATAACATGTCATTGTCCTCATATGTTTTTACTGCCTAGCCTTCGTAACTCCTCGCTACAACATGAGGACAGTGGATATTTCTGACGTAGAAGAAACATTTTAAACAATTAGTTGTAGGGTCATGACATTTTTCATTGTGACGGATCCCCCAAAAATATTCCACTAAAACCTTTATTAAGGTAATTGTATAGGAAAATTACAAACAACAACATATCGACCAATAGGAAATATTTGTGTGTTTTGGCCATAAATTGACTCGGCTTAATTTTAAACACGCACTGCGGAATGTTACACAGTACAGTAACCAGTAGGTTTATGAATAATATATTAGAATTGATTTTGAAGGAAGAGGTCGTGGCTGATTTCAGTTACTCTTACGCCATTTGCCTGGAAGGACTGAAAAACACCAGGATAAACGTCAGTGAAGATAGCCGGTCTCCGGGGTAAGAATTGAACTCCGGATCCCCCAAATAGAAGACAGGAATATCAACCACTGGACCGTGCCTTTCGGTAAATTATTGTTGCCAGGCAGCAGATTCGTAACAGAGAAGTGTAAGTAACAATACAATAAAGTAACTAACAAACAAATCTTTGAAAAATATAAATTGATAGATGTCAAGGCGAATGGTTTTTGCAAAATTACTCAAATAGTCCTAAATATTCTATTGCAATACATCATTCTACCCTCACTGTGAGCTACTATTACTCTCAGATACAAAACTTTTAAAACATTTTTAAGTTTTAATTGCCTATACTTGGTTATAACATGATTTTACAACAACGAAAAGCAAAATTAATTTGTAACATTTTTGTTGTAAATTCCAACTCAATAATTAAGTTTCTAAGATGCCTGTCTTCAGCGTAGTAGTTCCGTGTTGTCTGGCAGAAGTTTATCAACGTTTCAAAGGTATTTGCTGCCTCCATCATCAAGGCGATGAGTCGTACTCATTGTCTGAGAACCTCAAATTCTAATTTAATTACTAGTCCATTATCTGCATAAGGGTTTCATTTATGCCCGGGAGACATAGAACACTCCGTTGTACACGGTTCAGTTCACATTAACACATACAGTAGACTGTCACCTCGTGCGAAGGAAT